ACGACTACTTAACGCATATATTCTGGTTCAAGCAGGCTGTCTGTCTGAACACAATATATTCATTCGTCATCAGGGCACATGGAGGCCAAAAATACCCAATTCACTGAAACAAGTATTATTTTGTGTCGAGAATACACATATTTTACTATCCAATGGCCTATCACGCACTTGAGCAGGAAAAATCAGTTACTTTAGGATAGCTCGTAACAGAGGTTCATAATAATGGACTAGAAATGGTCAAAAGAATTCAATGTGGCTGACGGAAATGTTGAAATTGTTTTTGTTTAAATCGTCATAGTGCTTGAATTATTTGTTTTAAATGTTCAAACTGGAAGGTCGAAGTTGAAAGTTTGCTTCCGCGCTAGTCGTCTAGTTGTTTATGTGATTATTATGCAAGACTCATTCCTAGAGTTCCATTTTAGATATGAGCACATTGTTTGTCGTCTTTAGTAGCTATCCTTCTTATATGTAAGCCGTTTTTACGTGTACGTGATGTCAACAGTTCAAGTTTTCTATAGCTTTTCTTCCAGATTGATTCGAAGCCGTATTTTGTTGATAATCTTAACAACAACCTCTCACCATTTTGTATATAAATCTACATAACAAGAAGCTTCCAGCAACCTGATGTTTTATTCAGGTCGTCCATTGGTGTCTTTTGAAGGAAAAAACCGGTAATGTTCCAGTTCATTCTGAATAATCGTTCATAGGAACTTAAACATAGATATCGAGCTAGGCTGCTCTTCGGACCTCAAAAAGGTAACTCTTCACTTGATCAGACCAATGTGGAGTCAGGATTTAGAAATAAGGTTGACAGATGATGATGACTTTTATTTTCTTTATTCCATTAGAATTACAGTTGATGAGTTTACCGAGTATGTACTGATTCCACTTTCAACCTCGTCGTTTTTTATAGAATTAAGCAGCAGCAAGGTTTGCTCATTAATTTTGATGAGTTCGAACAAAAAGTAGCAGATCTATTGTGTATTTGTTCACAAGAGGAGGCTATCGAAAGTCCTAAGTAAACTGGCTATGTCTGTCAACTTATTTTAGATATGGACTTCGGTTTTCCAGAAACACTGAGGAAAGAGATTGCGGTTTATTGCAAATAGTTGAGGCCACTAATTTCAAATATCTTCACCATTTGAGTCTCACTTTGTATGCAGCTGATGACGAAAAGCTTAAACTATTTCTCGCTAGTCGTTTAAAAAAGCATAAGGTACTTGTGCAGGTTTCCCTCATTTTCCAGGCCGAAAGTGATGCCATTATCAAGCAACTTAACCAGTCTGTATCGGAGCTCACGTCGTCCCTCAAATCTGCAGAGGAAGTGTGTTTTTTTCATCCTTTTTACACCTTTAGGGTACGAAGTTAATCATAGACGAGTTTCAAGCGTTCAAAGTAGAATGTTCAGCTAAAGAAATTAATCTCCAGGCTGAGAATGAGTTTGCTATTAGGGAATTGCAGTCGAAACATGATGAGGTTCAGCTTTTTGTCAATGATTATAAATTCTTAGGTGAAAACGAAGTTAGAAGAATCTCTTTCCAAAGAAAAGGATTTAGCCAGTCAAATCCAAGAGGAGCTTCAAAAGGACTTTAAAAGTCGTTTGGATTTAGCATTGAGCAATAATAAAGTGAGTATTTAGTAAGAGGCTGTGATAAATTACTTTCTCTTTTATTGGTCGAACTACGCAATCTATGGTGACTTTTCTCATGTATTTATGAGATACCAGGAGCACTTACTACTGGCTGAAACTCGTTTTGTTTTCCCAAAAATAGTTAACGGTGCCACCTTTAAAACGGTTCCTTGTCATTTGGAATGTGCGTATACAGCATTCGACACTGACTATCGTAGATCCGATTGCATGTTTCTATGCATACGGTCAAGGTGAAGCTCGCTCTTTTTCGTACTAAATTTGTTTCGCATGTTGAGTGCCATGTTCTCAGTCATTTGTGAGGTAGGACTTAGATTCTTTTAGAGATCCATCGATCAAATATTAACGCTTCCACAAGTTTCAAACAAGCATACCTCCTAATGGGGGAATTGACTGGATTGGTTGGTGGGTGAAAAAATATCCTATTCGGGAACACTATTTAACACCGAACTATTAGCAAGTGTGTGAACTGATGTACAGATGAAAATGCACTGTGAACTATTCATGGGACTTATCAACAATAGGTCCATACTCTATTTGCTCCCTCAGGATCCTGGAGCCCATGTACACCATTGGTTTGGAATCGGGATTTTCTAACTCCCCTAGGTGGGCCCTCCGTGTCCACCGCGCGGTTAAAGCGCCAGACATTCGCTTTTCGTCCCATCAGTTTCGTAAAAAAACACCCCCGCCACGAGAAGGCAATGAGTAGGACTTCCCTGGCAAAGGATATATACGCATGGCCATGTGAGAGCATTTGGACAGGAAGAGCGGACTCTAGCCACTCTTGGACGTACCAGGACATTCGGGAGATGTATTTTTTCCATTGACTTAATGATATCCATTCACTGATATTGCCAAATTATATTCTAGCTAGTTTGTTCGTACTGTATCTTGGTTACTGACAGAAATGTGAACTTTATAATAGGAACACAGGTGATTCGACTAATATGCTAGTTTTTAAAATGTATACTTTTCTGTATGGATTATGTCGTCATGATGATGCACCATATTAAAGTCCTCGAAATATTATTTTTGTGTTTTCGAACTTCCAAATATTCATTTAACAGTTCGTTTGTTTATGAACCTTATCATGTCTAATGATTTCTTGTTTTGCTGATACAAATGTAGTCGAGTTGATGAAAACGTACCTATGCATTGTTAGAAATCTGATTTCTACTATAAGATATATCTCACCCTAACTTTCTCTTTACAGTAGACATTCTCGACTCATCGTAGCCTATTGTGTTGGTTTCTTTTCCCAATCGTCTGTGACGTTTGATCACATTTCAAAAAGGAGTTCTCTTATTAGTTATATTTGTTGGTCATAGACTTTTAATTGTGTGATATTAATACGTGATGAAGCAATCGAGCTATGCTGGCTGGAACAGTCGTTCCTCGAGGTCCTACCATGCCAGACAGGTCGGTTGAAGAGCGGTGAGACTAAAAGCAGCAAACCCAAGGTCCGAAGGCGAAGTCGTACTGTTGACTGTACAGAGGTGTGACGGCAGTAAGGTGTTTCCTTCAGACAACCAGCATGACAGCGATGCTGCCTTCCCACAAGGAGGGGTGGGGTTAGAAAAGGTCGACCCTAAAAATGCACACCTCGCCTTATCCCACGGATTTCCGTCTCCGGCGGTAAGGTTTTTTTTTGAAGAACGGAGCTAACACAAAAACTACCCACAAAAAGGTCGTGTGTGACCGACCTCAAGCAGTTGTCCCTTGGGCACTGCAGTCATGCTCTCAGGTCATTAAGACCACTCCTAACCCAATTTCCTTTTCAGGTACCTCTAGAAGAATCCTTCCACGGTGTGGGCAACCGGGAAGTGATAACTGCCCTCATACCTCTAACAGCACTCAAGACCACTGTATTCATAATCAATCTTCTTCTTCAATTCCTACTATTCCCTCTACCTTGACTTTCAACACTAAACTTCCTCTCTCGGTTTCCTCCTCAAATGTCACCATGGCCAACGATTCTAGTGCGCGAAACGCTGTCCCAGGTCTACTTAAACCTCGCTCCAAACTACACATTGGAGCCTTCAACGTACGTACCTTATGCCAAATCGGTCAACAGGCCTCCTTAGCTAAAACCCTAGAATCTCGTACCATTGATGTATGCTGTGTCTCCGAAACACGCATACAGGATCCCAGTGTGGTCATTCACTTGACCTCACCTCGCCAAAACGGAGAGCCGACGAGATACACCCTCCGTGTATCTGGCGACCCGTTGGCTAGTTCTCGCGGACTTGCAGGTGTAGGCATAGCACTAAGTACAAGGGCAGAACAGGCACTACTAGAATGGATCCCCGTTAACAGTCGCCTGTGTGCTGTCCGGCTAAATGGCTCCATAAGAACTCGGAAGGATAGGGACACACGTCGTTGCCTTTTCGTCGTTTCTGCCTACGCTCCCACTGACTGCAGCCATGATGAAGTAAAAGATGACTTTTACAGAAAACTCTCTGAGCTTTTTCAGAAAGCTAAGCGCTCAGACATAGTAGTCATAGCGGGTGACTTTAATGCCCAGGTAGGCAGCTTAAATCAAACAGAAAGACATTTAGGTGGGCGTTTTAGTATTCCGGCTCAACGAACCGATAATGGTGATCGTCTGTTGCGACTATGCTCAGACAATCGTTTATTTTTAGCAAGCACTAATTTTAAACATAAGGAGAGACATCGTCTAACATGGCGACCACCTGCACCAAACCAACGATGGACTCAAATAGACCATATTGTCATCAGTCATCGTTGGAGAGGCTCAATAGAAGATTGTCGCTCGTATTGGAATACTTGTTTAGACTCTGATCACGCTTTAATACGAGCACGCATTTGTCTGCGCCTCAATGGACGCAGGAAAACTACACTAAGAAGACCCATTAGGATTGAACTGGAGGACGAGAAAGCCAAATGCGAATTCCAGAAGCAACTGAGTTCACATCTAGGCAGTTCTGTAAACGAGACTGACCCAGATGCTGCTTGGAAAGACACACGAACAGCTGTGGAAACGGCAGTAACATCTATTAGTCATTTAAACCATAGGGCTCCAAAAAACCAGTGGATTTCCTATAAGTCTATTTCACTGATGGATTCGCGTAAACTCATCCCATCAGGCTCTGAACATGACGAAGAGCGTAAACAAATTAGATCTAGGTTAACTAAAAGCCTAAGGAACGATCGTTAGCAGTGGTGGGCAACGAAAGCAAAAGAGATGGAAAAGGCAGCGGCTGTAGGCAACACCAGGCAACTATTCAGACTAATAAAAGAAACCGGAATTAAGAAGTCAAGTGTAAGTGAGACAATCTCGGAAAAAGACGGAACCCTTATCTGCTCTCAACCTAAACGTTTAGAACGATGGGCGGAACACTTTAAGGAGCAGTTTAGCTGGCCTTCAGCTACTGCACAACTACCCACTATTCCTAAAAAACCTGAATGGAACATTGAAGTAGGCCCCCCGACCCTACTTGAAGTTCAAAAGGCTATAGGTAATCTGAAACGGGGAAGAGCAGCTGGTCCTGATGGATTGGTTCCAGAGGTTTTTAAATACGGTGGTCCAATTTTAGCGATTAGGTTGACTAATATTCTGGCTAAAATCTGGGAGACGGATGTAATCCCATCCGACTGGTCACAATCACTGATTGTCCCAATATATAAAAAGGGGTCAAAATCATCCTGCGATAACCATAGAGGGATTAGTCTGACTAACATAGCATCTAAAATACTAGCCCCAATAATTATCGGGCGCCTAACTAAGACTCGTGAACTGCAAACACGAGAAAATCAGGCTGGCTTCAGACCTGGTCGTGGCTGTATCGACCACATATTCACCATTCGTCAAGTTTTAGAGCACAGACACGCTTATCGGCGTCCGACAATGATAGTTTTTCTTGACTTGAAAGCAGCATTTACTCTGTAGACCGAGAGGTTCTGTGGCAGTGTCTGTCATTGAAAGGTGTACCTGAGAAGTACATAAACCTTTGGAAGGCTCTTTACTCGAACACTATTAGTCGAGTGAGAGCTTATGGCGAACTGTCATATGATTTTACAACCTCAAGTGGTGTCCGTCAAGGCTGTCCACTATCCCCATTTTTGTTTAACTTCATTATAGACCTGTTGCTGGAAATAACACTCTCATCGACTGAATTTTCAGGAATTGATCTCCTACCAGGGGGACCACTAAGCGACTTAGAATACGCAGATGACATAGTCCTGTTTGGTGAAGACGCTGGCAAAATGCAGAGTCTTCTGTTGGAACTCAGTAATAATGCCAGGATGTTTGGGATGCGTTTCTCCCCATCCAAATGTAAATTGTTACTCCAGGACTGGCCTGCGTCAACACTCGAACTAAGGATAGGAAGTGAAGTAGTCGAACGCGTCGACAACTTCACTTATCTTGGAAGTCTGATCAGCCCTAATGGGTTGGTGTCAGACGAAATCTCAGCACGGATTCAAAAAGCTCGTTTGGCTTTTGCCAACTTACGTCACCTATGGCGTAGACGAGATATCCGTCTATCAATTAAGGGACGAGTATACTGCGCAGCAGTTCGCTCTGTCCTACTTTACGGCTGTGAAACATGGCCATTAAGAGTAGAAGATACTCGTAGGTTACTAGTATTTGACCACAGATGCCTTAGAAATATTGCTCGCATCTACTGGGATAACCGGGTAAGTAATAGTGAGGTTAGACGCAGGGTATTAGGGAACGATGGTAAATCAGTTGATGAGGTGATAAATCTTCATCGACTGAGATGGTTGGGCCATGTGTTACGTATGCCTGAACACCGATTACCACGACGCGCTATGATGACTAGTATTGGGGACGGTTGGAAGAGAGTTAGGGGCGGCCAAACCAAAACATGGCATCAGTGTTTGAAGTCACTAACTTCTAGCCTGAGCCATGTTGGCAGATGCAGACTACCTGGTTGGGGTCCGCGTGACTATCGTAATAAATGGTTGGAGACTCTAGGTGACATGGCTCAGAATCGGTCACAATGGCGTAGGTGTATACACTCTTTATCTTCCCTTAAACCTTGAGACTAAAATTGCTTCATATCTCTCTTCCTTCCTGTACTATATCCTTATATACAACCTATAATTTATATACTACTACCACCAGTAAATTAATTACTTCTATGAATCCGGTGTTCCTCTTGTTGTGCTAACGAGGTATGGCAACTTGGACCGATGCATATATGTGCCTGGTCCTACGTTGTAGCTGACCTGACCTGGAACCCAGGATAATCAAAGCATCATTCAGAACAAAGAAGCAAGGGATCACAATGAACGTTATCCAATGTTATGCACCCACCAATGATAGCAAGGACGATGATAAAGATTAGTTCTATGAAAGGCTGCAATCAATTATAGAGAAGTGCTCACGAAATGACCTCACCATCCTGATGGGAGATCTAAATGCTAAAGTTGGAGTGGACAACACAGGATATGAAGATGTAATTGGACGACATGGATTAGGAGAGAGAAATGAAAATGGGGAGGGACTTGCAAACCTATATGCATTCAACAAGTTGGTTATAGGTGGCACAATATTCCCACACAAGCGCATACACAAAGCTACATGGATCTCACCGGAACAAACCACAGAGAACCAGATAGATCACATCTGTATCAAAAAAAAATTCCGAAAATCAATGGAAGATGTGAGAACCCGGAGAGGAGCTGACATAGCTTCAGATCACCACCTGGTTGTGGCCAAGATGAGACTGAAGCTAAAGAAACACTGGACAAACAGCACTACAGAGGTTCAATACAGCCTTCCTTCGAGATACCGACAAGCTCCATGAATTCAAGATAACTCTCAACAACAGGTTCCAAGCTCTACAGGATCTACTGAATGAACAAGAAACTACTTTGGATGACAACTGGAAAGGGATAAAAGAAGCACTAACTTCAACGTGTCAGGAGGTTCTTGGTCCTAAGAAGCATCATCACAAGGAATGGATCTCTCTGGGAACCCTGGACAAAATTCAAGAAAGGAAGAACAAGAAACTAGCAATTAACAACAGCCGAACACGAGCAGAGAAAGTCAAAGCACAAGCAGACTACGCAGAAGCAAACAGGGAAGTGAAGAAAAACATTAAAGTCGACAAGCAGAAATACGTGGGAGAACTAGCAACGACGGCGGAAAAAGCTGCAAGAGAAGGGAGTATGAGACAACTATATGATACAACGAAGAAATTGGCAGGAAGATATAGCAAACCAGAGAGACCAGTCAAGGACAAAGAAGGAAAGACAATCACTGAGATTCAAGAACAGAGGAAAAGATGGGCAGAATACTTCGAGGAACTGCTGAATAGACCAGCCCCATTGAACCCACCGAACATCGAAGCAGCACACACTGACCTTCCCATAGATGTCACTCCACCAACGATCGAAGAAATCAAGATGGCCATCAGACAAATCAAAAGTGGGAAGGCGGTAGGACCTGACAATATACCAGCAGAAGCACTGAAGTCAGACATTGAAATAACTGCAAACATGCTTCACCTTCTATTCAAGAAGATTTGGGAAGAGGAACAAGTGCCAATGGACTGGAAAGAAGGATATCTCATCAAGATACCAAAGAAAGGAGATCTGAGCAAATGTGAAAACTACAGAGGCATCAGTTTGTTGTCAGTACCAGGAAAAGTTTTCAACAGAGTTTTGCTGAATCGGATGAAAGACGCATTAGACGCTGACTTTAGGGATCAACAGGCTGGATTCCTTAAGGATAGATCGTGCACAGACCAGATTGCGACACTACGGATCATCGTTGAACAATCAGTTGAGTGAAACTCATCACTATACGTCAACTTCATTGACTATGAGAAGGCGTTTGACAGCGTGGACAGGGAAAAATTATGGAAACTTCTTCGACACTATGGAGTTCCTGAAAAGATTGTCAACATTATCCAAAACTCATACGATGGACTACAGTGCAAAGTCATGCATGGAGGACAGCTGACAGATGCATTTCCAGTAAGGACCGGAGTCAGACAAGGCTGTCTACTCTCCCCATTCCTCTTCCTTCTAGTGATTGACTGGATTATGAAGAATTCGACATCTGAAGGGAAATACGGAATACAATGGACAGCTCAGAATCAATTAGATGGTTTGGACTTCGCAGATGACCTAGTCCTCCTCTCTCATACACACGAACAAATACAGATGAAGACAGCAAATGTAGCAGCAGCCTCCGCATCGATAGGCCTTCACATTCACAAAGGAAAAAGCAAGATTCTCAAATGCAACACGGTGAACACCAACCCAATCACACTTGATGGCGAAACTCTGTAAGAGGTGGAAACATTCAAGTACCTGGGGAGCATCATTGATAAACAAGAAGGATCTGATGCAGATGTAAAGGCGAGGATTGGCAAAGCAAGGGCAACATTTCTGCAATTGAAGAACATATTGAACTCAAAACAACTCTCAACAAATTTCAAGGTCAGGATCTTTAATACGAACGTCAAGACAGTCCTACTGTATGGAGCTGAAACGTGGAGAACTACTACAGCCATCATCAGGAAGGTACAAGTATTTATAAACAGTTGTCTACGCAAAATACTCAACATCCATTGGCCGGATACTATCAGCAACAGCGTTTTATGGGAGAGGACAAACCAGCTTCCAGCTGAAGAGGAAATTAGGAAAAGACGTTGAAAGTGGATCGGACATACATTAAGGAAATCACCAATGTGCATCACGACTCAATCCCTAACTTGGAATCCGGAAGGGAAGCGGAAAAGAGGAAGTCCAAAGAATACACTACGCCGGGAAATAGAAGCAGATATGAAAAGGATGAATAGCGACTGGAAAGGAAGGCTCAGGACAGAGTTGGATGGCGAATGCTGGTGAGCGGCCTATGCTCCTCGACGAGGGGTAACAGGTGTATGTAAGTAAATAAGTAATCGCTTATTACTTCTACATGTAAAACGATGAACCACTGCAATTCCCACGACGCGAAGTAAGAACACCAAGACTGGTACAAGTGAAGATTTATCAACCCCAAAACACGAAGACGACTCTAGTCGAAAAATACATTCATTTATGTATTGACTGTACACTCATTTTTATTATTAATTAGGATGAAATCACATATATAAAAAATGCTTTGAGTTATAACAAATCATATGCTACATGTCATGTTGAGCATAGTCCATGTTAATTTAATAGAAGAATATCGTATCTTGAACATAAATCACAATGAGCAAAGGACTGTAACTTTCATTTTTAATCCCACCATATTGTAAACTACTAATGAACACATAAATGCAGATATTTTACTTGGTATTTATTTCAGTTACTTACAAGCTGAATGGAATACACGCAGATCAGCCCAAGATGGTGTTCTCCGCTTCGATAAGGATACAATTCGAGGTTTTAGTCCTCGAGTGCCTGTTCAGAGTAACCTGGTTGATTGTGGAATCTACCTACTTCATTACGTGGAAATGTTTTTCAAGGTAAATTTAATTGTTTTGACACACCGTAGTTAATCATGGGTTTAGACTTGATTTGTTATTGTTAGCCTGTAACCTATGAATCTAAATATCGGTCATTTATTTCAGGCTATCAAAGTATGGCTCTTCACTTGATGAGCTGGGCCTGGTACAAATGAGTCGTACATATGGTTAGGATTTTATATTTATGTATTAAGTGTGCTAATTCTGATGTAAATCTACCAAAACCGATCTTTGTACTAAAGTTACTGTGCATACTTGGGTGTAAACTCGCACCTTCTGTATAAGATTCGCTTATATAGATCCATATTATTGATCATTTGTCCATTTCTTTGTATGTATTACCTTAGTAACTGATGACTTATAGCCCCTTATATACTTATTCAATGGCACTTAAAGTTGTGTCATACGCGACCCTGCAGTTTACTTCTGTCGACAATGTTTTCGTGGAATCAACTATCGTTAACTCACCGAAAAGTCAACTCTATCACTTATTCAGCTTTTTACCACTGGTTAATATATTTTTAGAAACCTGTTCAAAGTTATACGAAAGATTATTTCCAACACGAAATGGCTGGTTGGTTCCCAGAAGCTACTGTCAGTAAGAAGCGTGCCCAAATTCATGACCTTTTGGTTAACCTACGAGAGCGTAATCTGAGGGAGAAGGCTAAAAACTGATTCCAACACGAATCACTGTAACACTATTCCTGTTTTCATTTACGAAATTCAATTCTTCAAATGAATATAAACACTACATCTTTTTGTATATAAATACACTCCCATCGTTCCTCTTGCATTTCGATTGTATTTTTCGACGGTGTGATTGGTTCGGAAACTAATACTGAACTATTAATGATACACTTTGTATTACAATTCTTCCAGTCGAATATTTCCCTTCTACTTATCTTAAAACAATGGACTATCATCAAATGAATCTTTTAACCAATTTTTTAAAAGTAACTGTGAACGTACTACTGCGTAATTTTCTAGTTTTACTATTTGTAATCCATCAATGACACCAACCATAACGGTATTTGTAAAGCTTTTCTTTCTGCACACTATTGTTATTTTCATAAAAGCAAGAAACTAATAATGAGTATTTGTGCATATTTCTGTATTTTTCAATTTCCCAACTGCATTGCATGTTACACAGGTAAAGTTATTAGCGGATATATCGATTAATCATGTGTAATAGATTGATGCACTACTGACTATATGTAGCCCTTTGAATTCAGTTAGGAATTCAGAAAACACTAAACTACTACAAACTTGATAAGTAACTGATACCGAAAGCGTATAAAGTTCTATGAACATGTGCTATAACACTGAACAACCTACCTGTGTTTCCCACCTCCAGAAAAGTGTTTCACAGCAATAAGCGAAAGCAGAGAGAGGTAATTCAGAGTATCTTTGCTCGTTAATAGATAAACAGGCATTTTTTGATCACCATAAGTGGTGGAAGTTTACAAAATTCGGACGAGGTTTCTATTCGTGTCGAGACTTTGTCGGCTATCACCCAACACTAATAGAACTACCAATATGAGTATCGTCAGTGTGCTGAACTACTTAACTCCATATGTCCAGATTAAAACTGGTCCATCATAGTTCTAAAGCATTTTGAATTGTTGGAGACCCAACTAACACCATTGTAGTCCTCAAGACGTTCAGAAGAGTTCATTTCGCTGACGTCTTACTCAAACAGAAACATGCCACCTGAGTTATCTAAGTTGAATGGTCTCACATTGCTAAATAATTGCCTATCGAAGGTTGTCCTTGGACGAAAGAGTTCACATACCCATCCTACAATAGTATATGTCTATTAAAATTGTTGTCCTCAATGTTCCCACCTTGAAACAGATTGAACAACGGACATTTACGACTATGACTAACGTCTCGCGACGGGTGGGGAAAACAATGTCTACTTGTACCCATCTATACTCTGTTTTTTTTACACCCATCGAAGTAAATGCTTTTGTGAATTCGGTGTGCATCTTGTGCTATTGAGGTATGACAACTTAGACTGATGCATATATGTGCCTGGTCCTGCGTTGTAGTTGACTGAGAGTGATGGCAACTTGCTGATCCCAGGTCGAATAATTGAGACTGTTTTCCACAGGTTTGTACAGATCGCAAGCTTCTTGAACTGTCGTGTCTTCTCTCCTCAAATTAAGCCTGGGCTCATCGTGGCCATATTGCGGCCAGCTACCGATTTCGCGGTGGTTTACAAGATTGTTATTCATTTTAGAGTACCTTCTTGGATTCCAGTCATGCGCTTTGTTGTTCAAAAAACTTATCATTCCAAAAAATTGGTTTCATGTCAGTTGGCTGCACTCAACATTGATGTCAAACTGAGATAGGTTCAATGGTAGTAGGCAGTTCGTTGGAAAGTATACATCAGCATACACGCGCCTACAAAACCCCCATTTAAATAAAAACTAATTCCACTCATGGCTTCGTGAAACGTCCCGTTGGTGAATATTGCGTTTCTGTGAGGTTCTTACAATACGTAACGTTTAGTTCGGCAATGCACGTGAAACTCCAAAACGTTTCCGTAATGATCACAAAACGTGGTGGTGAGAGTGGGGACTATTCTATCACGTTTCTTATCATCCAGGTTCAACTTCCGTTTTTCACATATTCTTCCATTTACATATTTCCTTATTTGTCAGATCCAAGGCTAATTTTGTTTATTTACCTAACATGGACTTGCTTCCTGTTTTTGCCCTTACCTATGTCAATTTTAAAGCTTTACTATTACGACTACTTAACGCATATATTCTGGTTCAAGCAGGCTGTCTGTCTGAACACAATATATTCATTCGTCATCAGGGCACATGGAGGCCAAAAATACCCAATTCACTGAAACAAGTATTATTTTGTGTCGAGAATACACATATTTTACTATCCAATGGCCTATCACGCACTTGAGCAGGAAAAATCAGTTACTTTAGGATAGCTCGTAACAGAGGTTCATAATAATGGACTAGAAATGGTCAAAAGAATTCAATGTGGCTGACGGAAATGTTGAAATTGTTTTTGTTTAAATCGTCATAGTGCTTGAATTATTTGTTTTAAATGTTCAAACTGGAAGGTCGAAGTTGAAAGTTTGCTTCCGCGCTAGTCGTCTAGTTGTTTATGTGATTATTATGCAAGACTCATTCCTAGAGTTCCATTTTAGATATGAGCACATTGTTTGTCGTCTTTAGTAGCTATCCTTCTTATATGTAAGCCGTTTTTACGTGTACGTGATGTCAACAGTTCAAGTTTTCTATAGCTTTTCTTCCAGATTGATTCGAAGCCGTATTTTGTTGATAATCTTAACAACAACCTCTCACCATTTTGTATATAAATCTACATAACAAGAAGCTTCCAGCAACCTGATGTTTTATTCAGGTCGTCATTTGGTGTCTTTTGAAGGAAAAAACCGGTAATGTTCCAGTTCATTCTGAATAATCGTTCATAGGAACTTAAACATAGATATCGAGCTAGGCTGCTCTTCGGACCTCAAAAAGGTAACTCTTCACTTGATCAGACCAATGTGGAGTCAGGATTTAGAAATAAGGTTGACAGATGATGATGACTTTTATTTTCTTTATTCCATTAGAATTACAGTTGATGAGTTTACCGAGTATGTACTGATTCCACTTTCAACCTCGTCGTTTTTTATAGAATTAAGCAGCAGCAAGGTTTGCTCATTAATTTTGATGAGTTCGAACAAAAAGTAGCAGATCTATTGTGTATTTGTTCACAAGAGGAGGCTATCGAAAGTCCTAAGTAAACTGGCTATGTCTGTCAACTTATTTTAGATATGGACTTCGGTTTTCCAGAAACACTGAGGAAAGAGATTGCGGTTTATTGCAAATAGTTGAGGCCACTAATTTCAAATATCTTCACCATTTGAGTCTCACTTTGTATGCAGCTGATGACGAAAAGCTTAAACTATTTCTCGCTAGTCGTTTAAAAAAGCATAAGGTACTTGTGCAGGTTTCCCTCATTTTCCAGGCCGAAAGTGATGCCATTATCAAGCAACTTAACCAGTCTGTATCGGAGCTCACGTCGTCCCTCAAATCTGCAGAGGAAGTGTGTTTTTTCATCCTTTTTACACCTTTAGGGTACGAAGTTAATCATAGACGAGTTTCAAGCGTTCAAAGTAGAATGTTCAGCTAAAGAAATTAATCTCCAGGCTGAGAATGAGTTTGCTATTAGGGAATTGCAGTCGAAACATGATGAGGTTCAGCTTTTTGTCAATGATTATAAATTCTTAGGTGAAAACGAAGTTAGAAGAATCTCTTTCCAAAGAAAAGGATTTAGCCAGTCAAATCCAAGAGGAGCTTCAAAAGGACTTTAAAAGTCGTTTGGATTTAGCATTGAGCAATAATAAAGTGAGTATTTAGTAAGAGGCTGTGATAAATTACTTTCTCTTTTATTGGTCGAACTACGCAATCTATGGTGACTTTTCTCATGTATTTATGAGATACCAGGAGCACTTACTACTGGCTGAAACTCGTTTTGTTTTCCCAAAAATAGTTAACGGTGCCACCTTTAAAACGGTTCCTTGTCATTTGGAATGTGCGTATACAGCATTCGACACTGACTATCGTAGATCCGATTGCATGTTTCTATGCATACGGTCAAGGTGAAGCTCGCTCTTTTTCGTACTAAATTTGTTTCGCATGTTGAGTGCCATGTTCTCAGTCATTTGTGAGGTAGGACTTAGATTCTTTTAGAGATCCATCGATCAAATATTAACGCTTCCATAAGTTTCAAACAAGCATACCTCCTAATGGGGGAATTGACTGGATTGGTTGGTGGGTGAAAAAATATCCTATTCGGGAACACTATTTAACACCGAACTATTAGCAAGTGTGTGAACTGATGTACAGATGAAAATGCACTGTGAACTATTCATGGGACTTATCAACAATAGGTCCATACTCTATTTGCTCCCTCAGGATCCTGGAGCCCATGTACACCATTGGTTTGGAATCGGGATTTTCTAACTCCCCTAGGTGGGCCCTCCGTGTCCACCGCGCGGTTAAAGCGCCAGACATTCGCTTTTCGTCCCATCAGTTTCGTAAAAAACACCCCCGCCACGAGAAGGCAATGAGTAGGACTTCCCTGGCAAAGGATATATACGCATGGCCATGTGAGAGCATTTGGACAGGAAGAGCGGACTCTAGCCACTCTTGGACGTACCAGGACATTCGGGAGATGTATTTTTTCCATTGACTTAATGATATCCATTCACTGATATTGCCAAATTATATTCTAGCTAGTTTGTTCGTACTGTATCTTGGTTACTGACAGAAATGTGAACTTTATAATAGGAACACAGGTGATTCGACTAATATGCTAGTTTTTAAAATGTATACTTTTCTGTATGGATTATGTCGTCATGATGATGCACCATATTAAAGTCCTCGAAATATTATTTTTGTGTTTTCGAACTTCCAAATATTCATTTAACAGTTCGTTTGTTTATGAACCTTATCATGTCTAATGATTTCTTGTTTTGCTGATACAAATGTAGTCGAGTTGATGAAAACGTACCTATGCATTGTTAGAAATCTGATTTCTACTATAAGATATATCTCACCCTAACTTTCTCTTTACAGTAGACATTCTCGACTCATCGTAGCCTATTGTGTTGGTTTCTTTTCCCAATCGTCTGTGACGTTTGATCACATTTCAAAAAGGAGTTCTCTTATTAGTTATATTTGTTGGTCATAGACTTTTAATTGTGTGATATTAATACGATATTCAGTTACTTGTTTTAACTAGTTCTGGAGGTCAACTTGGTCTCCATCTATCGTTCTCGTGTTCCTAATTGGGTCTTCCAATCCACTGTTTTCTTGTTAAAATACCACAGTTTACGCAAACATAACACACTAGTTCCCGGTCCTTTTAGTTTCTTTTGGGCTACCTAATCTGTTACAATATTATGACGTAAATTGATTCTCCTCTTGGATTTTAACATTGTTTTATCCATATCCATGGCATTGCTGATATTTGCTTAAATAAGGAAATAAAAGTCTTTTGTTTCGCATTGAGCAGAATCTACGGGACCATCAGTCTGTCCTTCAAACACGTATAGAAGCACTACAAGAGAAAATAAAGTCTACAGAAACCGAAAATATTTCTTTAACTGAAGAAATCAAAAGTAGGTTTTACCTGTTTTCAATCAATCTCGTCAAAGGTATATATATATATATATATATATATATATATATATATATATATATATCAAAACATAAACTTGTGGCGATCTCAGTGCGGTTTTTTATAGCATTAGTAAAACTAAAACAATCTTTTATTAATTTTGATAGTTGAGAGAATAATCTTTTATTAACCTAAATAAGTACTTCTTGGCTGTTTTTTACGGATCTTTTTCTTTAAAAAGTATTACCCCTGTTCATTTATTTGCAGATTGTAAGACCCTTTGCGTGGCGCATTTTTTGTGCCTCATTGTAAATAGCTAGAAAACCTTATTTGTTAGTCAAAAAATATATATCCCAAATGAAATCAGAGTACGTAGTATAGATTTATATTGGTGTTTGTAAGGGCTCAACACCTCTTGGAATGTTGAACTTGTTACTTCTTTACTCCTTTTTGAGTCGCTGTCTATAGTGATTTCTTTTTTCTAGACATTGTAAGACTTAGTTGTTGCTGAGAGCTCTCTTGAACTCACAGAGCTTGTTAGCATCGAAGGCTCTATCAAACTTATATAGTGTTGCTTGTTCAACTATTCGCTGCCTTTTTAGCTTCATTTTTGTCTTGATCACCACAGAGACGATCCGAAGCTACATCATATCTTCTCATTATTCTTACGTCTTGGACCTTCTGAATTTTTTATTCATGTAGGTATTGTCAGTTTAGTTTCCTGTAGTGTGGTCCTGTAAGTTTTATGTACATATGTATGCATTTGTTGGAAAATGCTGCCATTTATGACGATGTTGTTGAAAGCACACAGATTTGTCAGTCTCTATCCATTGTACTTCCTTTCACCCGGTCCATATCGCTCCACGATGCTTTTATATTCGGTATTGTCCATTCTAACCTTGGTGTTTAGGTCCCCATCAGAATGGTCAGGTGTTTTAAGAGGAATTTTTTTACGATGAACTGCAGCCTCTCCAGGCGAAGTTCCTCTTTTTAATCTTTTTGTAAATAGTTTAGTCCTCATTGCCTGAAAAAAGTAAGCGACGTATTCATCTTCGCATTAATTGGAAATCTACTCTCCTTATTCCTGTTATTAGTTTATACATGTTACATTTTATTTTTAGACGTACGTTCTCAGTTGGATACAACCAACCGGGCATATGATCTACAAACAGAAGTGGTTAATCAGTTACAAAGTAAAATATCTATGTTAGAAGAAAATATGATTACCAAAGGTAAACAAATACTGGAGTTAGAGAATTCATTAACCAAAGAACATGAACAAAAGGTAATAGGTCATAAATTTACGTTACATAAATTGTTTTTAAATTTTGAGTCAGTATTTGGGATCTATTTCAATATAGCCGTATTCATTTACTTTCTAACTTATGCTACTTTTTCATTAGAACGCATCAGCACAGCGATAAAATCACTGGTGAAGTAGAAACAAAAAGAAGCTAGTTTTCAATTTTTTTTAAAAAACCAGTCGTCGTATCATTTTATGGATTCATTCTGTAGTTGATACATGTACGTTTTTACAACGTATTATGCTTCATCTACTTTCTTTCGGACAGGTAGGGGTGTGTTGTTTATGGTGGCAAGAGAATAAGTTGATATAAATTCTCATAGTCATTATTATACTAAAATTCCATAATCTCAGTCTCATTTACATTCGTTTATTCATGGTTTACAAAATCAGGTTTAGTGGGTCAAGTAACTCCAACAGTTTATAGGTATCTTTGTCAAGAATAGATTTGTTAACTTCGAGTAAATCCGGTAGGTTTCTGATAATAGAAGCACATTTGTCACATTTGAAATGATGAAAGAAACGATTTACGCGAAGTCACGAATCATCGTCTATTCAGTTTTCTACACATTGGTTTATTACAATATATTTTCGCTTTTATTATTCCTATAACTCAGACAATTCTTTTTACAGTACTTTCATACCTTGTGTTTATAACTTATTTGCACCAATCGAAGTGGCGAAACTATAATTTATGGACGACCTTTGAACGAATCTTAAGTGACCTTGAGAAATGTTAACCAATCAGTAAACAGTCAGCATAGAGTAAAAATATATTATACAAAACCAAAGAATTAGAGTGAATACACTTCTTTTATAAGGTCCAAAAACTTGTCGAGGTTAGAGAAAGGTTCAAAGGTTCCAAAATTGTAACGCATAAGGTAGGGTAACTCATCCATATGGCTCCATAATAGTTGGTCTCTGGAACCATGATAGGGTCACAAAAACCATCTCGGCCTCCACCACATAGCTTCGAAATTGTGTGTATTCTGGTTGTGTAAGTTTAGCATATTTATTATGGATATGTCCCTACAATATTCATACAACTGAACAGCCGAAGCTTCAGTAACATCTGCGATTATTGCAGCCAATACTACTATTTTCTGTTTGTTTCACAAATGCTCTTTGACTTTATAAATGTCTGTTTTCACTTCTCCCTAGATAAGCATAATTAAATATATGTTTCATTTAACCTCTTTGGCTTTCATGACTAACGTATATTCATTCATTTAGGAGTATGCTTAAATTTAACGAAAATTGTTGAAGCCTTGATTATCAATACTATGTCTAATATGATGTATCTACGGAACAGACCGTACAACCGTCATTAAATTAAGAAAATTTGAAAATTCGTCTTTCATCTCTGTATAGTTTTGTATATCTTTAGCAAGTTCCCTACTAAATTATTCTGTTTGTTTCATTATGTATAGATATTGTATTTTTAATAGAAAGGTTTTAATGAAAAATGTTCAGATAATTTGGGCAGATTTTACAGTTGCTTATAATATTCTCTTTTGTTTAGTTGCAGTTACTTGAACAGTCAGAACAACACTGTCGTAGCATACAAAATTTGGAGAAACATTTAGCTTCGAATACGGAAGAAATAAATAAATCCAATGAAATCATTAAACGCTTACAAAGTGAAGTCAAGAGTTTCCAAACAAAGGTAATGAAAGTTTTAAGGATTGTCTACAGTAATGATATACTATTATCATCATGTATCTTCATAAGTTCAAAATGTCAAGAAAATTAATAGGACGATATTATATTATAATGTATTGAAACGTTTTCTTCGAAACGTGAAAAAATGAACAACTAAGAAAATGTTTTCACTAGATCCTAGTAGTATGATCTATTTTGGATGCTCATGAACATAAATATTCAGACTGATAACGTTTTTATTCAACTTAGTATTGTTTGTTTGAATCTTCCCATCGATTTGTTAAGACTGCAGAGTGAACATCAACTCTGAGATGCAGGTACATCCAGCTGACGAGTCCCAAATAGGACGAAACGCGCGTCCTGGATTCCACTGCTAGCTACTATCCATCTCTGATAACGTTTTTGTTTGCAAATTTTCCGTGTTAAATCATATACTCTCTTTTCAATAGAAGAGTAGCCATGTAATTCATCAAGAAAGTGCAGATTTATGTATACTGTTTGGTGTCATGTATGGTGTCTAATAATACTACCTATGTTGTCCAGTCCAAATTAAATTAGACAGGGTTCGAACCTATAACTTACTGGTTAAAAGTCGTGTACTCTAGCAACTAAGCCGTTTCTTTACATATTTTCTTTTTATACAAACGATCAGTTACGTCACCATATTCTGTAAGTTATATCTAATTACTCGTTATTAAGTCAATGTTATTACCTACCTGGTCTATTACCACTTATTGTTTCGCATTAGTTCGTGAAATTCTCATCGAGACCTTTCGTAGTTAATTTCTCTTCTATTAAACACAAAGTGAAAAATATGACGGAAAGCAATACCTAACTTCTCCACGTTGACTTACTTGAAGTCTCCATATCTAACCAAAAATGATCAATCTTGTGGAATATAGTTAGTTTTAGAGTGCGACACGTTTGGTTAACATCAAAATTTTCTTTTAAAAATAAACAATGTACAATGGTTTCGCTATTATGTCATATTCTCAGCAGCAGAATATAAGTTAACAAGCTCGGACATCTTCAAAGATCAACAAGTAGTAACATGATAGCATCTGAAATAAGAGTCACGGATTCGTAATTATATTTGGAAAAGTGAAAGAAATTAATTAAGCTTTCAATTTGTGTCACTAAGGCACTGAAAGAATAAATGATGGTATTTTAATCATAAAAATTAGGATTTAGTTCCTGATTGCCTTGACTTTCGAAAGCAGAAAAATACAATTCAATAGTTATTGTAAATGTGCAAATTATATTTATCTGGTGTTTTATATTTAGTAGATGATGAAAAATCTAACTAATGCTATCACTTAGCTACTTTAAAGGTATGTAGACTATTTAGTGTATGTTCAGTAAAGCATGTATATACCTTATTCTTCGTCATTCTAAATGACTTATTTATGAGTACATGTTAACAAGTTTCT